ACCCTAAACAGTACACCTGGGGTCCGCGCGGACCCCAGCACTATATATTCTGTAATATCTTTTTTGTTTCTAAAGATTTTTTTCTGAAATTTTAGGTAGTTGTCACCCACAAAGTTGTCTCTCAATACAGTGCAGAAAACTCCGTTTCTACCATTTATAAAAAAAATTATATCTGATTTTCTTTTGGAGTCCGCGCGGACCCCAGCCGGCTTTCGATCATAATGGATACACTGGCGTTCTTATACATTACCTTATTTCCGTTTTTATATGTTTTTATGCACTCATCGTATGTCTACCAAGTTTTCAGAGAATGGTGTAGTAATAGAACTAAATTTTAATAACTTTGGTGTAATTATGACGTCATATGACGTCAGAGCTAATAATATAGTCCGCCATATTGGATTTTGACCAATGACGTCATAGAATTAGCATATTCTATTCATATAAAATGATTTAACTTATATTTAATTATGTAAGATGTTATTAATGTTGGAAAAGTGTAATTTAATGTAAAACTCAGAAAATTTTTATGTTTAAACCAAAATTACTTCTATTTTCAAAAAAACTGCCTGCTAGAAACCCGTTGCCATGGCAACACAAAAAAACATCAATTTACTAGTATTAAACTAATATGAACTTTTTTCCAGAGACATTTTAGGAAAGGTCTCCAAATTTGATACTTCTAGCGCAAGCCGTTTAGCCGCTATCTGAGATCAAAGTTGGGCCTCAAAAGCCCCTTCAGTCTGAAATGGGTTTAAAAATCGGGTATTTCTTCTTGTCTTCTTTTCTTCACCAAAAAATAGAAAAAGTTCAAAATGTATGATTTTTGTATGTAATGTGGACACAGAGGTTCCCACATCAGTTTGCAAAACAATTGAGCTGGTAGCATGTTGATATTTTCTAAAAATTAGCAAAAAACTGTTCTGGGGTCCGCGCGGACCCCAGGTGTACAGATTAATCATTCCGGGAAGGTGTTCTGTTGAGGGTTAACACAGACCTCGTCGACAGTTACGACCAGTCCACCCGGATGAGCAGGTACATTTGTATCCGCCATCTTTGTTCACACAGCGTCCATGGTGGCACAGGTTTCTGATACACTCATTGATGTCTGTGGGATAAAGAAAGAGTTTAATCACCATTCATAAACAAAGCCTATTATCAAAGAAGAGAGAGATTTTGACAGAAAAGAAATCCATGGAGATAGGAAATTCTATGCTTTCAATGTAAATCCTAGCTTCATGTACCGAT